GTGGGCCGGAAGGAGAGCGACGGGGAGGACGGCCGCCCGCCCCAGCCCAGGCGCGAGGGCCCCATCGGTGGCGAGAGCGACTCGGAGGAGACCTTTGAGAAGACGTCGGGCTTCGGCAGCGGAAAGCCATCGGAGGCCGGAGAGGGCCCGGCGGAGCTGCTCAGGGCCCGGGAGGACTCTGAGTGCCTGACGAGCATCAGGCACGAGGCCGAGCGGCTGGAGCGGACCGTGGAGCGCATCATCACCGACACCGAGGACCTTGCCGCCGTCTTGCCCGGGGCTGGCGTCCAGGGGGACGGGGAGAGGGGAGAGGGCGCCCAGACGGAGCCCCAGCTGCTGGGGACCCTCAACACCAGGATGAAGGCTTTCAGGAAAGAGCTCCAGGCCTTCCTGGAGCAGGTGGACCGGCTCGGGGACGGCCTGAGGGAGCGTCTGGAGGGCCTGTCCCCGCTGCCCCACCTCACGGAGTCGTCCAGCTTCCTGTCCACTGTGACCTCCGTGTCCCGGGACTCCCCCGTCGGGAACCTGGGGAAGGAGCTGGGCCCTGACCTGCAGGTAAGGGGGCTCCCGGCTCTGCCTCCCTGCTCCCTCCTGCTCCTGCTGGCTGGCCTGGCCGCGCTCCAGCTCCTCCTGCTCACGGCTGCTTGGCTGTGATTGCAAACCCGCGTCGTGCTAAAGCCTCCGGTGTCAACCAAATCCTTTCTCTTGGTTGGGTTTCTCCTTTCTCTTGGTTTTGTTTTATTTGTTGGTTTAGTCCTTTCGTTCCCTGGTTTCCTCTCCCTATTCCTCTTATTTTTAAACCGCACAGCTGCTCTTGGCTTAGAGGTCCTCCCTCTTGCCACGAGGCTGATCCTGCTGGAAACGCTAGGGATGGACACAGGCCTCCCTTTTTTTTGGCATCCCAAACAACCAGCCCTCCCGATGAAGAAGCAGAGAGGAGTTTAAAACAAAGTCCACGGGCACTTCGCAGTCGGGATGCGTAGCAGACTCCTCGGGAGCGCGGGCGTCCCCACCTGCGTTCACTGCCCCAGGGACAGTCCAGCCCCGAAGGCCTAGGGAGCCCACCCGCCCACCCCCTCTGCGAGACGGACAGCCTGGACAGGGAGGAGCACGGCCAGAGAAGGATGTGAAAGCACCCGGAGCCAAGGGCAGCGACAGCGCGGCCTCCCGGGACTGCTCTCCTGCGCGGCGCCCTGGACCATGGCCTGGCCGCCCGACCTCAGCGAGGCGGCAGGAGCCTTGTTCCCGTATCCTTCCCGGTGGCCTGCCTGCGGGCGAGTCTGCCTCCGTGTCCCCATGGCACGCGCCTCGTCAAGCCTTCTGCATTCTCTCCCTCTGCTTTCCAGGTCCTTCTGCCTGTCCTCACGCTCGCCCTCACTTCGGTTCTGTTTTCTCTCTCTGTCGCTGCTGTGTTTGCGTTGCTGTCTCTGGTCATGCTGCTCTCTGTCCCGTAGTTTCCCAGCCGTCTGCCTTCCCCACCCCTCCTCCACCCTCTTGGTCCTTTGTGTTTTGTTTAAAATTTTTCAAAAAACAAAAACAACAAAACCCACAAATCCCTCCCGTGCACCTAACAGTCCAAACTGAGAGATCAGATGGAGTGGCAGCTCGGGCAGGAGCGAGGGGAGGAGCGGGGGCCTCTGCCTCCGCGAGCC